ATGATTCAGTTTCATTCGGTAACAAATAAAGTAATAAAAAATTCTATTGAATTCATTCATTCGTTGACAATAAAACATAAAAATCTGTATAAAACAAAATATACCCTGATCATTTATTCACTGGTTATTATTCGCGCGCGAGACTGAAGGTCGTGGATTCGAATCCCGAAGTGGACATCAACTCTGAGTTGCAAGTACATCTAGCTGACGAATCACCATTGGGACGAAATGCGTGTCTGTTCAATAGATTTCAAGCATTTTATTTATTAACCAACTACAGTATTTGTCTATGAATTGTGTTCATAAAGAAATTTACACAGTATCAATATTATTCATTTTGAGTATAACAAATTCATCATGTACACTTCTTCATATTGTAGTGAACAAGAACACATAAATGGGTACAATCGAATGTATTTCAATATAAAATTACAGAATGTCTTAGTAACATCTGAGAACCATACAGTAAATACTTCATTGTTCTTTCGTTTCCACACTAATCATTCACTGTTCTTCTTCCATTTTCTTCGATCTTGTTAACCTCCTGCCTCTAGGTATTTCACTTTCGACTGATGATACATACTACTTATGTCTGTTGATATCAGTAGTACATACCACAATGGTAATAAAATAGTAAGTAAGTATATTTTAAAAACAGATTAAAGCAAACTAATTAAATTGGTAGGTAAACTAAGTTTTTTCTCTAAGAAAAACTCATTTGAATGAGTTAAGTGTAGAGATGTATCGACCATATTCAATTTATACAAAAACCTTAATCATATGAAATGGAAAATGATATAACCCCTTGATTTTGACCTTGTGAGTAGTTTTCGTGTTAGCTTCGTACTTTGTTAGGACCTTACCGCCGGAGATGGAAATCCGTGGGATAAGATGAGGTGCGCATTTTTACGGTCAACTCAACTTAACATATATCGGTGTGTTCCAACAGTCGTTGAAAACTTATGATTCAAACTGAAGATTAAGTAGAGGTTAAATTTAAAACAAGACTTCAATTCAAAATGGCGTACTACATAGACTGACAAATTTTACGTTGTTGTGAACATTATCCGATATTTGTATACGAAGAATTTTAGTCAAAGTAAATGAAGTGTGATCAACTGTATTTATTACTTATTATCTTATCGTGTTACTCCTCCTCTTAAGGTGTTTGCCACGTGCACAAAACCTGCAACCAACACAGTTCTGGAATAACCTTGTAGCGTCGGTTGCTATGTCAAGCCGACATAGCTTATTCTAGTTACCGGACAGGTCTACTTATTCATTGTTCTTGAGCCACAATTTTGATCTTGTTAATTATTCGCTTGTCGACATGGCCTATATTGTTATGTAAGCGTATGTGTGTACATTTCCCTATCTTACTCATCACATGTCTGTAACTTATCTTTGTCTGACTATAAATATCGATTCACGCTTGGTTAAATTGAGTTGGTTCACATGCCTTCTTCAATCCATTTTACTCCTCTCTCTCTCCTCTTCGCTTCCATCGCTCCACCTCCCTAATTATCTGTTTAGATCAACGATTGTATGAAATATACTCATTTAAACTTCATTCTTGTAATTGACTTATTTAATCCCTTTATTTACTAACGTGATCTAAGTTGATGACTATATACGACTATTGACGGAATGTATATTTCGATAGCAATCATCATATGATTTAAATGGAGTCAGATAATGGGTCACTAAAACCTTTTCAATTACTGTCATATGCTATTCATGCTTTTGATATCTGGCTCTGAGCCAGATACCTGAAATACCTGTAACATTGATTGTTCTCTAAGATTCAGTCCCGTACAACATAAATGCTTTAAATTTACTGCTGAATGGCTTAACTTTTGTCTGAGGTGATGATTCTCTTAAGTTCCAGATATTTTCACATTGCATAAATCTTGTATTTTACTACCAGTTTCATGTGTTCACATATACACCAAATCCTTCTTGCTTCCTAAGTACGTCATGACTACTAACTTTTCCAAAGATTTACTATCATGTATGCTTTGGTTGATGTGCACGGAGTTTTACTACTGGATGTTGCTTAGGTCTTAATGAATTGTATTTTCTATGTTCAAAGATGGAAACACATCCATTTTCAAAATGTTGCACAAAAATTAGGAAATCGTTTTCTCATCCCTGATTGGCTCATCTTGATATTCTAGTTTTACCCTATAAATCAATTACAAAACCAAATTGTTCTAATCATGAAATCTATTGACATTTATAAAGTTTAGTGTTTTGTTTGTTTGTCTGTCTGTTTTTTCTTTGGTATTTTATCTATTTGACCATGTGATATCAGTCTAAATTTCAAGGAATTTGACCTTCGAATGTTTTGGTTGATGACTTCAATCTATAGAATGTTCTTTGACCTATCGGTTGTATGAAGATTATCGTAAAGAAAGTCTGAGAACTCAATGTTTGTATGGATTAGGGGATATTTCTTGTTATAACTTTATTTCATTCATAATTTGATACTTACTTTAATATCAGAAAGGGTTTTGTGGAGATTGTAATAATTTCTATAGTTGAGATTATCCTACGATGTAAATGTCTAACTTCAACTAAACCACGATATTGAGCCATTCATCTAGTTGAACTCCACTGGTCTTTGATTCTCAATAGAACTGCAGGAAATACCTCTTAAAGTCAGTAACTATTGAGCATATGTTGATTAGTATCAGAAGGGGTTTTGTGGAAATGTATATCCTGGAGTTCTAGTAAGAAGCAGTGACCAATGGGGTTCAACAGGATCTGTTGTGAGATAGTAACTCACTGATGACAATGGTGGATGTGTCGCTCAATTTCGTAAATTAGTTGAAGTTAGACATAAACATCGTTGGAATGCCGGCCAGCTCACTTGTTAAGCGCTGGCGCGTGAAACTGATAGGTCCTGGGTTGGAATCGCGCGAGGTATGGTCGTGGATACGCACTACTGAGGAGTCCCACAATAGTATGAAACGGCCGTCCAGTGATTTCAGGTTTTTTATGGTGGGCTAGCTTCAACTGACTCATGATCTCATCTATTGAACTTACTTACTTTATTTACAACTTTTATTCCACGTGAAGGAACATAGGCCACTCAACATCATTCTCCATCCAATTTTGTCCTGGATAATCCTTTCCAGTTCTTTACAGTAGTTATTCATCCTTTTCATCTTTGGCTTTCCTTTTTTCAGTTCCCTTCAGGATTCTAAGTTATGGATTGTCTCATGATGCAGTTTGATGGTTTTCGAAATATATGTCCTAACCACTTCCAACGTTATTTCCTTCTCAGTCGGAACCTGGTTTGTTATCTTCCATAGTAGGCTGTTGCTGATGCTATCCAGTCAATGGATATTGAGTATCTTCTGTAGACAACTATGTATAAATACTTGTACTTTTTTGATGAAATGATTTTATCACGATCCAAGATTGACCCAAATGAGGTTACTAAAGGTCTTGGTCCATATGCTCAACGTGTACTTTTTTGATGATGGTTATGATAGGTCTCCATGTTTCAGCTCCTTACAGTAGAACTGTCTTGACATTCATGTAAAACACCATGTATAAAACTGATTATTTAGGGAGATTTATGAAAATTCCTACCAAAATAATAAGCGAATACTGTATCCGTAGTTGCTAGGAGAAAATAATAATAAAGCAATTAAGAAAGTATTTTAATCGTGAGAAAAATATGTCAGTTTTACTACAAATTGTTTACTATCCATTGGGAAATGTAAAGTGATAAAGTGTTTCGGGAACTTTTGTTTTTGTATACTCATTAAAGTAAAATATGCATGAGAAACTCAATTCAATTTAATTCTTTGTATAGTCGAGATAAACTATAAAAAACAGCTTGGTATTGTTTGGCTTGTATCTTCCCATTGAGGTTTAAGACTGCATATGTACATACTGTGCGTATGCCTCGATATTGCTTTAATCCACAAGCTTTTTGTAAGCGATGATGAGTCCCAGAGTGAACATCAACTCTGAGATGCAGGTACATCCAACTGACGAGTCCCAAATGGGACCGATATGAATAATGAATGGTAACTTTTGGGATCCATTTATGAACCAATACTATGAGTATATTTTTATAGTGTAATTGGTATGTAACTAAACTGTTCATATTCATGTCGCTCTTATTACAAGCTTTAATTTGACCCATAGACTGTTACTATACGATTTGCCATTCATGAGTTATGGCCTGTCTATTAATTACTATCTCCCTCATTCACAGCCACATCTGGCTAATTCTTGTACAAATGTCATTGCATATTTTATTGGTACGTCGTCGTCTGTCTGGTTGATATATAAACCGAGTATGTTTGAAATACATGAATCATATTGCAGAGGCTGAGATCGGTGTTCTGGACTTAACTGGCTGGGTTAGACAGGAAGCTACACCAATTAGGACTCTAGACTGCTCGCATGTGTTTTACGCGTCCTTGGTCCGATCGATAATTCGCTGCTCTCTGATTGGCGGTATCGTTGTGTTATACAACAAACAGGGGACATAAGCTCACAAGTTATAACATAAATAATCTTTAAATAAGCTCGAATCTTTTCAAGATTATTCATTTCTTCACTAAAATCACAAATTCATGACATTCTAGTTGAACAAATAACCTTTAGGTAGGTATCATCAATGGAGTTAGATGATGGATTAAATAGACTTACTGGAGAACTGTAAACCACTGTGTATCAACTTAGTTATTCAGTACATAAGACTCCTGATGATCCTGAGTTTGATTTCTGAAGGAATCGTGTCTTGTCTTTTAAGTCGAAATTGTGGTGCTTTACTGAAGCTGTACTATTTAAAGCTTCTGTGATCTTGGTTCTTACTATTGAGCTTTATTCAACTAGTCTACGTTACGTAATCTATTCTGTTTTCATCACCATTCTGTAATATGAAATCGATATTGTAAACGAATGTTTAGATAACGTTAGAAATGAGTATCATTTTATTCATTTCATGAAGTGTACATTTTCCCCTTCATTTACAGTCATATATGCAGCAAATACAATGGACAACCGGTGTGTTGTCCAGGTTGGAGAAATGGTATTGGAGCACCATGTATAATACGTGAGTTTATTTACTTTATCGTTTTCTTATTCAAAATAAAAAAAGTGTGAATGAACATTACTTGTCTGATCAGAATAAAGATTAGTGAAGATCGTAGTAACTTTAATAGTTGAATTCATGAGTCGATCTAAGCTAGATCACCATGAAACATTTGGAAACGCTGGGCAGCTGTTTCGTCTTAGATCCACTTATGATGAATTCAACTATTAAAATTACTACAATCTCCACAAATCTCCATTCTGATAATGATCGTCATGTGCTCAACAGTGACTAACTTCATGATGGATTTCATGAAGTTCTAGAAGAGAAGCCTTAACCAGAGGAGTCCAATCCGTGCCGGTTATAGACAGTTATTCACTTCAAACACTGGATAAATGGTTGTGTAAGATCATGGATCAACTGAAGTTAGATATTAACACCGTTGGATGCTGGCTGAGTGGTCTAGAGGTTGAGTGTTCGCACATGAAACTCAAGATCCTAGGTTTGAGTCACGCGTGCGGTACCATAAATATGCAATGATTGAGGAGTCCCATACAAGAACGGAATGAACGTCCAGTACTCCCAGGTTTTCACTAATGGTCTAACGTTTTTCTATTCATGGATTTAACTATTAAAAATAGTTCAAAGTCATCATATTTGTCTGAAGATTTCAAAAACTTAAGTTGGGTTATAAGTTCGTGGCTGAACGGTAGTCCTTAACGTCCGTCAGTTTGTGATTAAACGATTATTAAATGAAATCAATATCTCTTGAATAGCCAGTGAATAAATCTACAAACTCAATGAATAAAAATCTACTTTTTGAAATCATGAACCAGTCTAATGTAGGAAACCCATGAGAACCTTTAAAAACTGGAGGAACATTTCATGTCAGTATTAGACTCCTTACCAATGTGCACTCTCAACTTCTCATTCAAGAATCAGACATAGGATCTTTGGTTTTATCTACGGACATTTAACCTCCAGACTATCGAACTTGCATTAACGAAGTTAATCAAATTTTATTCAATTTACAATATTGAACGATCATTTTCCTTTCTCTTTAGTGGACAAATATTTCATATTCCACATAATTCAGCTCCACTAGTCATACGTTCTCAAAAGAACTCCGGAGAATATGATAATTTTCAGTATGTGGTAGTGAAGATTGTTGAATTTTATGAAAATTGTAAACTAATCTTGGTTCAAATTCACTTGGTGTTGTTTTTATTTGTATCTTTTCATTGTTATTTAGGGTTGCAATTGATCAGTCTCATGTTGGCATATGTGCATCCTGTGTGAATTGCATCCATTTATCCTTAAGTCACAAGCTTTATAAGCAAAGATGGATAGTGATTAGCAAGTGGAATCCAGTTTGACGCGCATTTCATCCAAGTTTGGACTCGTCAGTTGGATGTATCTGCATCCGACAGTTGATGTTCACTCTGAGACTCGAACCCAATACCGTTCACTGGAAACGCCATCGCGTTATCCACTTAGCTACTGAGTCGTGATAGCCACTTGTTTGTGCAATGGGGTGAAGTTTAAATTCACTTGGTCTTGTTTTATTTGTATCTTGCCATTGTTATTTGAAGCAAACGATACTGAGTTCGAGTCTTGGTGTGGATATCAATTCTGGGATGCAGTTACATCCAGCTGATGAGTCTGAAATAGGACGAAACGCGATTCAAACTGGATTCCACTGCTATTTTACTGTCCATCTTTACTAATCTTCTCTCACTTTTAATGTATTAAGATGAAATCAAGCTAATCTAATATAAGAATCAAGTTGTCTAATTGAAATTTATTGCTGAAAAAGTAAATTCGACTTTTTTTCTTCCACCTATGGAATTGATATTAACAAGTAGATTTACATAATTGTCTAATATGTAAATCATAAAGTGGAAAACATGAATTTTATAAACGAATAATGGTAAAAACATGATACCCTTGTATTCTACTAACAAACAGCATTATATGAATGGAGAAAATGCAGAAGAATAGAAACATGTTGCTTAAGACGTTTCTTTATAGCTTTAATAAGAAATCGACCAATATTTATATTGTGATTAAAGGAGGATCAATCCAGGACTCATAGTTCATCATAGTTTGAGCGCCTAAATGTTCTGAAATGAATAGAGGGTGGGGAAAGTTAGCTCTAACTCTCGAAATGATCTCATATGGCCACGCATATACAGCCACTAACAGGGAAGTCCTAATCACTGAATTACCACGACATTACTGTTGTTTACAAAATTAAGAGGATGAAAAGCGAATGTCTGGTACTTTAACTGGGTTGGTGGATATGAAGGATTTATCTAGGGGAGTTGAAAAACCTTGATTCCTAACCAATGGTGCATATTGGATTCAAGATTCTAAGGAAACAAATTTCGTATGAATCTATTGCTGATCACCAACTACCATAGGTGACGTTACTCTACTGTCTTGTGGATCAGATCGTTTAGGTTAAAGGTTCCGTGTGTGCCTCCCTAAGAAAACCACGTGGTTCGGTCTGGGCACCCGAGTAATAACACAGCCCACACACAAATTAATTGACTTGTGTGGTTCATATGTATTCGGTGCCTCTGATTAATAGAATCCAGTCAGCACTAAACGATCAGATGCATATAACATTGGTCATTACTCAGTAATAAATTATAAACAAATATCTTGGTCGTACAGAAGGATAGTCGTGAATAGAATAGTGTAATGGTAACAACTTAAATTGTGAAGTTGGAGAAAATGTGTCTGAATCCTAATGGAAGTACTGTAATGAACAGTTGCTAAACTTTGAGGTAATATAAACTGTTAGCTAGATCATAAGCATAGATGGAAAGTGGTTAGCAGTGAAATCCAGTTTGACGCGCGTTTCGTCCTGTTTGGGACTCGTCGGCCGGATGTACCTGCATGTCAGAGTTGATGTTCATTCTGGGACTCGAAATCAGTACCGTTCGCTTCAAACGCCATCGCGTTATCCACTTAGCTACTGAGTCTTGATTACCACTACTAGCCACTATCTATCTTTGCTTATAATGCTTGTAAATTAAGGCAATATCGAGGCATACGGACAGTACGCACATATGCCAATAAGAGACTGATCAATTTCAATCCTAAAAACATCAATGGGAAGATTCATATAAAACAATATCAAATGTTAGCTAGATGTCTTGCTCTAATTTCGTTGAGGACGTTAGATCCCCAGAACTCATTTGGAAAAGGTCCTAATTTTATTCTGAAAATTTGAATTTTATGTTTTCGCACAAAGAGACGTTTTGTTGACCTACAGCTTACATTTGCCACTCGGAGCTTTATTTGTTTTAACACATAGATATTGGTAAAAGGAGGCACCAAATACATATGCGCCACACAAATCTCATTTGATATGAATGAGGGCTGTGATACTGCCTGCGTACCCAAACCGAACCACGCGGTTTTCTTAAGGGGTCACATCCGGAGCCTTCGACCTGAAGGTCTCATCCACAAGGCAGTAGAGCATCGTAAGGAAATGCAGTCCTATGGTAGCCGGTGACCAACTATTGGCTAATACGCCATTAGTTCCTTCAGAATACTGGAGCGAATGTGCACCATTGGTTTGGAATCAGGGTTTTCCAAATAACTCCCCTAGATAGGCTCCCCATGTCCACCAACCCGGTTAGAGCGCCGGACATTCGCTTTTCGTCCTCACAATTTTGTAAACAACACCCCGCCACGAGATGCCAATGGGTAGGACTTCCCTGGCAGAAGTTATATACGCGTGGCCATGTGAGAGCTTTTCGAGAGGGAGAGAGGACTCTCTCCACTCTCGGCCGTACCGGGGCATTTAAAGGGGCAGTAAATCGGATGTCACTGCCAGGAACTCCTTGACTGTCATTAGTTGATGGATTTTTTTAACGCTATTTTGAGTCTCTCCCAAGGCCGGTACTATTATTGTATAAATAAGCTTGATTTGTGTACTAAGTGACCTCGTATTTTCTGGGTGCTTGTAGAATATATTCTCTACGCCTCATCAGGACTTCTAGATCTAATTAGCAGGGCCGGAGTAAACAGATTAGAATAGACTATCGTGCCACTGTATCTTTCACATTCCTTCAGTTTACCGAGTAAGGTGAACTCGTAATAGCATTCAACCATATCAGGTTTTCAATAATTCTTCAGTTGACGTTAGTTGGTCATAAAATTTAAGATCAGAATGAAAAAACTTCACAAACCATCTATTTCAATAAGTAACATTGCTTAAAATCAAAATGTTGATTATAAGTCATTCACTATTAATTTTTATCAATAGCTTATAATGATGACTCTTCGGCATGAAGTGGGATAATAACTAATTACTGCTCACTGACAGATGAAAGTCCTTTGGCTAACGTGTGGTTCGATTGTCAATTGTGTAGTTTAGACGAAATTACGCCATCGTACACCATTGTCTTCAGTGAGCTGATATCTCACAACAGACTTGGTTGAACTCCACTGGTCACAACATCTCACTAGAACTCCAGGAAATGCCTCTTGGATTCAGTCACTAGTGGATAGATGATTATTATCAGAAGAGGATGTTGTGGAGATTTTAGTAATTTCAATAGTCGAAATCATGAGTCAGTTGAAGCTAGACCATCATAGAAAACCTGGAAGCAATAGACGCCCATTTCGTCCTAGTATGGGACTCCTGGGTTCGAGCCTCGTGGGGGCGGGGGCGAGATCGGGTATGTGCACTGCTAAGGAGTTCCACAGTAAAATGAAACAGCGTTTCAATGCTTCCAGGTTTTCCATGATGGTCTAGCTTCAATTGACTCATGATTTCAACTATTAAAATTACTAAAATCTCCACAAAACTTTCTTCTGATAATTGTGTAGTTTTACAAGAGAACAAATAAAAACGTTGTTCAGTGCTTTCGCAAAAGTCCTATCAATTCTCACTAAACGATAATTTAGAGAAGATATTTGAAATGGTGAGTACATCTCTAAAGGGTGTTCTATTAAGAGTTAATTCTATAGTCTTCGCTTGCTCTTTGTTTGTTATCTGTTTG